ATGTTAGTGTCAGTGAGAGCAGAATGGGTATTTGGACTGGACGAGGGGTGGGGTAGGAAGATGAACCTCTTAAGAGACAGTGTGGAGATGCCATTCACTGATATAGAGGCTGTGGGGTGAAGGTGGGACTCCAAGATGACTCCATTGTAGGTCCGCACGAAAAGAAGGCTGAGGTCATTAACTGTAGCTAGAGAAATCAGGACAAAGAGGACATTTGTGGAGAAAAAAATACAGTGGGTTTTATTCGTGTTGCACAGAATGTTCAAGTAGCTATGTAGAAGCAATAGCTGTGACCCTGGCTAGTTACACATCATGCCCAAAGGGGTGGCCACCGAAACCCAGAGAGCAAACAGGACCACCCCAGAAGAAAATGTTGGTGAGGCCAGAAGCTGGGGGCAAAGACTCCCTCTAGACCATTGTTTCCCAGAAATGGTCAGAGACAAGAGGAGGGCCTACTGAGAACTAGGATATATCAGTTTGTCCTCGCTGCCGTATCACTTCCCGGACTTTTGGCTAAGATCATGTGTCCTTGCTGCCGTAACATGGTACCACAGACTGGGCAGTTTCAACAGCCCAAATCTGTCCCCACAGTCTGGAGGCTAGAAGTCCCAGATCGGAGTACTGGCAAGTTGGTTTCTTCTGAAGATTTCCTCCTTTTGTCTTCACGTGGTTTTCCCTTTATGTGGATCTGTGTCCTGATCTCTTAGAAGGACACCAGTTCTCCTGGATCAGGGCCCACCCATAGGACTCATTTTTACCTTAATCACCATTTGAAAGACCTATCTCCAAATACAATCATATTTTGTGGTACTGGGGATTAGAATTTCAACATTAGAATTTGGGTGGGGGGACACAGTTCAACCTGTAACATAGAAACAGAAACGGCTAATGACCTTGTGGTCATGAGGGTCAAGAGCCTCCCCGAAAGGGGTTATCATGTCTGCCCGGAAAAACATTCAGGACCCATCATTTTGTGGAGCATTTTCCTTTCTCCAACTGCTGACATGTAGTTCTGGCTTATCGAGAGAAACTGATTTCTTCTTCCTGTTCTGCAGATGGGCCACACACACACAATTACATCTATTTATTTATAGATATGCTTCTGGAGAGAAGAGAGACGGACATGGAGAGAGGTGGGGAAGGGTCCTGCTGTGGGTATTCAGCATCCCCGTCCAGGCTACAAGGCCTTCCCCCCCCTTTTTTTAATTTTATTTGTTTATTCATGAGAGATCCAGAAGAGAGGGGCAGAGGGAGAAGCAGGCTCCCCAGGGGAGCCCGATGCGGGACTCGATCCCAGGACCCTGGGATCACTGCCTGAGCCGAAAGCAGACACTCCTCCAACTGAGCCACCCAGGTGAGCCACCCGTTAAGTCCTTCCTAAATTAAATTTCCTTTTTATGTACTTCAGTTGTCTAACAATTTGTATAAATCTAGCAAATTAATAAGCTTATCAGTATGGCAAACCTGATGTCTTAGATGTTTCAATACTGTTTAAAAACTTAGTAAGATTACAAGGTAAGAGTAACCCATTTCAAATCAGATTTAGAAGGGTGTGCCTAAAATCGCCATATTCTTTAATACGTTTCAGGCATATCAATACCACATACACATGGATTCCTTATTAATCCAGAAATATTAATAATCTGTGGTTTTGTTTCTTCTAAGCCTGTCTATATTTGACTCAAAATTTTATTGGATTAGCAGATGGATATATTTTTAAGAAAACAGTTACTGTCCCAATTAATGGAGTCATTGATCATCAAAGAGTTTTGCTGGTTATTTCCGGAGTCTTTAGGAGACATCAAATCCTATCTGCTGTGGTCATACCAATGATTCTTTTTAATTTTTTTAAAGATTTTTATTTATTCATGAGAGACACACAGGCAGAGAGACATAGACAGAGGGAGAAGTGGGTTCCCCATAGGGAGCCCAATGTGGGACTCATCCCCAGACCTGGGATCATGCCCTGAGCCCAAGGCAGCCGCTCAACACCTAAAACATCTTGTACTGTTGTATTTTTAGGACTATCCTGCTCTTCAGGAGTCTTAGAACGAGATGTGACTGAAACCTGGCTCTCTCTGCTTTGGCATCACAGCTTCCAGGGTCTTTGTATTGATGATTCTCACTTGGCTCAGAAATAACCTTTTAAAGGAAGAATTTATTTATTTTATTTATTAACGAGAGACACACAGAGAGGGGCAGAGACACAAGCAGAAGGAGAAGCAAGCCCCATACAGAGACCCTGGGATCATGCCCTGAGCCAAAGTCAGATGCTCAACTGCTGAGCCACCCAGGCGTTCCAGGAAGAATTTACAATTTACTAATATTCATCAATAGGATAAATAAGTCCTCTCTCTCTGTCTCTCTCTCTCATGAATAAATAAAATCTTAAAAAAAAATAGGATGAGTCCATAATACAAACATAATCAAATAACAAGGCTCAATAGTGTGTTATAGTTGACATTCTTTTAGAATACTTAAACTTTTATTGTGGCTCATGATGAGCTCATGGCTCTTCATAAATTTAATGCATTTCAATTTGATACTCAAATTGCCCTAATTTGGCTAGCAGGGGGGCTGCCCTTTGGGTTAGCTCCTGTATCCTTCTGACACCACCCTATTTTTCTTTGAAGCTTACCTTCTCTCTGGCATGAAGTGTCTTGGCCTATCAGGTATTCCCTAACACCTGCACCAGCCATTTCTCCAAGGATCTCTGTTTTTTTTTTTTTTTTTTTTTTTAATGGAAAAAATAGCAGGCATACAGGATCTGAGCACTCTGGTGCCTTTAAGGGTAAAATTGCTCTGAGGCCATCTTTGTGAACAAAGCTGGAAAAGAGATTTCTTTTTCTCTTAAAGCCACGAGTTTGCTATTTTCAATAGTTTGAGGTGTTCTGACTTAAAGTTCTTTTGATCTTTTGATTTTATCTCCTTTTCTCTTTTATAAAGTTGCTTTTTGCTTCATTTAAGTCTGATTGCTCTAAGACAATGTGTTAATACGAGTATTAAAGCTCATACTGAATCATATACTGAATAGATATCAAGACTTTCTGTACAGTTCCTTTGGTTCTTAGTATTCTAGGAAGGATGTTTAGTAATTCATAATCCCCCCCCCCACCTCTCTCTTTTAAGCTTTTAAGTAGGCTCTATGCCCAAGATGGGGCTTGAACTCATGGCCTGGAGATCAAGAGTCCCATGCTCCACCAACTGAGCCAGCCAGGCACCCCAGTAATTCATAATCTCTTGCTTAGTGTGGCTCTTTACATATTCATGTGATGGAGAGTTTTGTTCCACTGTTTTCATCCTGCTTTCAGCTGAAGGGTGCTGGTATTCTAATAGCTAACAGTTTCAAGAATTTAAGAACTTAGCAAGTGATCCCCAGCCCCTCCAGATAGTGAAGGAGTGGGGAGGGCAGCCATTCTACTTTGAAATCAGCTCAATCTACAACATTCTTTTTAAGTTTCATTTCCTTATCACTGCATCCATGTACTGTCACTTAAAACATAGTTCTAAGATACACATGTGTGTGTGATCTCCAGCAAATTAACTGGTTCAGCCTATTATTGAATTACAGATAATATTAGAATCAATACACTTTACACAGTTGGTAAACAAATCCAATCTTAAAACTTAGATCTTCTTTTAAAATATATGTAACATTCTTTTATCAACTTAGTATGTTACATATTGTTATACGAAGATTTATAATGAATAAATTCAAATGGTTTTCCCAGTTAGCATTATCTTGACCTACTTACTACCAGTCAATATGTTTGTTTTTACTGTAGGGAGACAGCTTTATTTTGGCATACCATATAAGTAAATAATGACACATTAAATATAGGCTCTTAAGGTTTTAGTATTTATTTTTAATTTTTTAAAAAAGATTTTATTTTTATTTATTCATGAGAGATAGAGAGAGAGAGGCAGAGACACAGGCAGAGGGAGAAGCAGGCTCTATGTAGGAATCCCGATGTGGGACTCGATCCCAGGACTCCAGGATCACGACCTGAGCCCAAATCAGATGCTCAACCACTGAGCCACCCAGGTGTCCCTAATATTTATTTTTTAAAAAATATTTTATTTATTTTATCGAGTAGGGGGAGGGGCAGAGGGAGAGGAAGAAGCAGACTCCCTGTTGAGCAGGGAGCCAGATGCAAGACTCCATCCCAGAAGCCTCTCAGACACCCCTTAATTACAAACTGTGCAGAACTTAGAGTCCTTTTGATAAATGTAAAACTTCCAAAAGCAGTATTACTAGAAAACTAAAGTTTATATAAATAAAATGCAATTGAAATAATAAATTCTCAGTTTCCTTATATAATTAGTTATAAGGAATAATTTATGGAAATGCACAAGGCATTTAATACAAAATTTTCCTATTTGGAATGAATGTTCTTAAAAATTGGGATTCCAGGGTAGCTCGGGTGGCTCAGCTGTTTAGCACCGCCTTTGGCCCAGGATGTGATCCTGGGGACCTGGGATCAAGTCCCGAGTCGGGTTCCCTACAGGGAGTCCGCTTCTCCCTCTGCTTGTGTCTCTGCCTCTCTCTGTGGGTCTCTCATGAATAAATAAAATCTTAAAAAAAAAAATTGGGATTCCAGAATTGATTTTTGACCAAGGTGAGGTGGTGGTTGGTTTGATCCCTACCTTCATGGGGCCTGGCATTTGCTAATCAGCAAGATTTAAAATGACAAAATGATCAGGCCCTGATCACAGCCCAAGCCTCAAATTTATTGTTTTGGTGGCAGCTTGTTTCTATTGGTCCACACTGAATTTTTCTTTTTGCATTTAAACCAATAATGAAAAGGATTAATGGCTTAAAAGTTTAATTTACGGGATTCCTGGGTGGCGCAGCGGTTTGGCACCTGCCTTTGGCCCAGGGCGCGATCCTGGAGACCCGGGATCGAATCCCACATCGGGCTTCCGGTGCATGGAGCCTGCTTCTCCCTCTGCCTGTGTCTCTGCCTCTCTCTCTCTCTCTGCGACTATCATAAATTAAAAAAAAGTTTAATTTACTTAACGGTGAACTGCATATGGATAGTCTCCCTGAACTTTCTGGCTAATAAACACACATACTAATAAACACACACACACCATAGAGATTCAGACAAAGAAAAGCTCTTCATGCTCCAGCCTTTATCAACAAAAACCTCATGATTTCAATTAAATTTGTATTTAAATCATTTTTATGGAGGATATTTTTTCAAACAGATGGTCATTTTTGAGACCCTGAGATCTCTCAATATCATTTGTTTTCAGCACTCCAACACTGATGTGGAGGGAATAAGTTCTTTTATATAAAGCAGAGACTATGTGATTCATTTGCTAAACGTGAACTGTTTACAGTTAAGAGATTTTTAAAATTCAGCATCTACTAAATGCTTCCAACTATCCTGGATCGCTTCACAAACTGTCCTACTCAGCTCGGGCCATTTGACTGCATTCAGAATGCTTTCCAGATGCAGACACAACTACTGTCAGCAGGATAGGCTTCCCCTGGGGAGGAAGTTATCTATTTAATTGGGGTGGGGGTGCAGGACAGCTCCTCTGGGTGATACTCTTGGTTAACACTCTGCCTTTTCCCCAAATTATCATTTCCAGGGTATTCTAGAGACTTTGAGTCAGCTTTTCTGGTAGAAAGGCAGGCATGGTGACGAGTTACTGAGTTGGTGTTCAGCCTCTGGCAGGTTGAGTGCTACAATTCCTTTCTGTAGTGATATTCTTATAAACGACACCCTTGCTTTTATTTTTTTATTTTTTTTATTTTTTTACTTATTTATGATAGGCACACAGTTAGAGAGAGAGAGGCAGAGACACAGGCAGAGGGAGAAGCAGGCTCCATACACCGGGAGCCCGACGTGGGATTCGATCCAGGGTCTCCAGGATCGCGCCCTGGGCCAAAGGCAGGCGCTAAACCTCTGCGCCACCCAGGGATCCCCAGCCTTGCTTTTAAATTCCTAGTCTGTGGTCTATCCCTTGTCTGTTCTCCACAATAATTTGGAATAATCTGCTCAAGAGTCCAGAGCAACTCAAATCTAGGGAGTGACAGAGGTGGATTTCAATAGTGTTGCTCAAATTTTAATGTTTGTGGATCTCGTGGGGATTTTGTGAAAGCACAGATGGTGCTTCCATGGGTCTGGGGCTCTGCATTTCTAGTGAGCTCCCAGGTGATGCCAGTGCTGCTGGTCCAGGCACTACACTTTGAGTGGTGAGGGACCATAAGATGTCAATCAGATATGCACACAGTGAGACCCCCTGATGTCTTATTTTTGCACCCTTCCCCTTTTCCTTTGCTGTCTGGGGATGATGAAGCCAAGCTCCAGCCTTGAGCTGTTATCCTTATTTTAGGAGGGATCGTAAACAGAGCCTGCCATTTGCCTGTTTAACTTCTCTGACTCCTCTGCCTTCCTTTGCTCCTTCCTGGGCCTGAATGGTAATGGTGCTCTTTGGTCTAAGGGCCAAGAAGGAACCTCACCGACTTCCCAGTTCACATTTGCCCACTGTGGTCCCTATGCTTTATAACCCACAGCTGTACGTAGAATTGATCCTCACATTTCCCCATGATGTCTTCTGAGACCATGATGTCTTGAAGCATTTAAGGCAAACCTGGAAAATTCTCTTCTGGCATGTTGGACTTACGGTGTTTGGGAAGGTGGGGTTACAAAGCTCTTAAGGAACTTGGAAAAACGAGAGATGCTTGTGACCTTCAGGTGGAAGAGATGACCTCTTCATACCAAGCAGAGTGGAGAGGCTGTGTTCTTAGGGCCACAATTCAGCAAACTCCAAGAAGGCCATCTGAAGGGTTTGTCCAGTAACATATCAGGGTTTATCACTTTGTAAAGCCTTTTCACTTTCTCATTCCTAACTTGTAAGCCCTGTGTTATCCTGGAGGGGCTAAGGGCTCCCTCAGGGGGACTCATTCATATTTCTTCCTCCAGGGACACAATGACAAAACTTTAGGCCTTGTGACCATGCCAGAAACTTGCTTCCCAACTGTCACTGTCCTGCAGGGAAGGGGAAGATACAGCTTCAGCCATGCTTATTGGTTACTGTTTTTCTTCTATTTCTGGTCCACTGTGATGTTTGTTTTTGAATCTGCTTCTTTTCAGAATTTCTCTCTCCCTCTTATTTATTTATTTTTAAAATTTTATTTATTTATTCATGAGAGACACAGAGAGAGAGGCAGAGACAGGCAGAGGGAGAAGCAGGCTCCCTACAGGAAGCCCGCTGTGGGACTTGATCCCAGAACTTGGGGGATCACGTCCTGAGCCGAAGGCAGATGCTCAACTGCTGAGCCACCCAGGCATCCCCGGGATCTCTCTTTTAAAATCTGTTGTTGCTGTATGCACGCACTGGGAAAAAGTTCCTATGCCTTCCAACCAAAACTCTGAAGTTGTGAAAGTGGGTTTTCTATACTCCTGTTTTTTTTTTTTTTTTTTAAGATTTTATGTATTTATTCATGAGAGACACAGAGAGAGAGAAAAAAAGGGGGGGGGGGAGAGAGGCAGAGACACAGCAGGAGGAGAAGCAGGCTCCACGTAGGAAGCCTGATATGGGATTCGATCCTGGGACTCTAGGATCACACCCTGAGCCAAAGGCAGATGCTCAATCACTGAGCCACCAAGGCATCCCCATACTGCTGTTTTAAAGCAGATGAATAGGGGCACCTGGGTGGCATAGTCGGTTAAGCCGCTGCCTTTGGCTCCGGTCATGATCTCAAGATCTTGGGATCCAGGGCCTCCTTAGGCTCCCTGCTCAGCAGGGAGTCTGCTTCTCTATGCCTCTGCCCCTCCACCAGCTCATTCTTTCTCTCTCTCAAATAAATCCAATCTTAAAAAAAAAAATAAAAGGCTGATGGATAAATGGTCAGGGCACTTTAAAAATCTACCCTTGGATTAAGTTAAAATGTGGGAGTGGTGTACCGGATTGCTGCTGCAGTATTCATTCCACTTACAGCAAAGGCCAGAGTAGGAAGCAACACAGGGAAAATCTTTGCTATGTTTCAGAGTGGCTGGGGGCACTTTTTTCCCCCCCCCAAACTGCCTTTTATTTTTAAGATTTATTTTAGAGAGAGAGCATGTGCAATGAGCTTGTGGGAGAGGGGCAGAGGTGGAGGGAGAGAAGAGAATCTCAAGCCGACTCCCTATTGAGTGCAGACCCAGACAGAGGGTTCAATCCCAAGACCCTGAGATCATGACCTGAGCCAAAATCAGGAGTCGGACACTTAATTCACTGAGCTCCGCAGGCACTCCGCAAAGTGCCTTTTTACATGACGTTCCATGGGAGAGATCTTTGTCATTCTCAGGAATAATTATGCTTCTCTTAGGGGGCAAGGACACTGACTCATAATTGTTAAGTTTCCCTTTTTCTTCTGGTCTTCGGATGCTCACAAATTGGTGACCTACATGTACAAGAACAGCAGGCAGCCTTTTTCGTGCGGGTCTGCCTTCAACTTTTCAGCCTTTATTTGGAGTCCAGATGTATATATAATCGTTTTTATGAATTAATGTAATCATTTTTGCAAGAAGGCCTAGAAAAATCTAATAAACCAGCCTCACCTTATTTTCCCAACTGGACTGGGTAGAGGCTGTGTATGGTAGCTGAATCCCAGTATGGTACTGGTTAATGTACACATATCCACAGCCCCTTCTTCAATCTGCCTCCCAGCTCTCCTGAGAAAGGGAGGCAAGATTTTGGCCAAATGGGCCTAACCCCATGGTCTCCAACCTATCAACCTCCTCTTTTTAATGTCTCCTTTCTCCCTCCATCATACCTCCTCCACCCCCAGTGTGGGGTTGGGGGGTAAGAGTGGACCCTAGCTCAGGACTCTCTCCTCACCCCGAACTCAGCCTCCCTCCATTATCACCCGGCCCCTCGGCGAGGCCTCCCTCCTCCCTCCATCCTCACCCCACAACCCCAAGCACAGCCTCCCTCCATCCTCAACCCCATCTTGAAAGGCCTCTCTTCTTCCTCCATCCTCACCTCCTCCAAGAGAGACATCCCTCCATCCTCACCCCCCCAGCTCAGCCTCCCTCCTCCCCCCTCCGCCCAGCTCAGCCTCCCTCCTCCCTCCATCCTCACCCCACAACTTCAAGCACGGCCTCCCTCCATCCTCCCCCCAGCTCAGCCTCCCTCCTCCCTCCATCCTCCCCCACTCCCCCCAGCTCAGCCTCCCTCCTCCCCCCTCCGCCCAGCTCAGCCTCCCTCCTCCCTCCATCCTCCCCCACTCCGCCCAGCTCAGCCTCCCTCCTCCCCCCCTCCGCCCAGCTCAGCGTCCCTCCTCCCTCCATCCTCACCCCACAACTCCAAGCACGGCCTCCCTCCATCCTCCCCCCAGCTCAGCCTCCCTCCTCCCTCCCTCCTCCCCCCCTCCGCCCAGCTCAGCGTCCCTCCTCCCTCCATCCTCACCCCACAACTCCAAGCACGGCCTCCCTCCATCCTCCCCCCAGCTCAGCCTCCCTCCTCCCTCCCTCCTCCCCCACTCCGCCCAGCTCAGCCTCCCTCCTCCCCCCTCCGCCCAGCTCAGCCTCCCTCCTCCCCCCTCCGCCCAGCTCAGCGTCCCTCCTCCCTCCATCCTCACCCCACAACTCCAAGCACGGCCTCCCTCCATCCTCCTCCCGCCCCCCCCGCGAGGCCTCCCTCCCTTCCTCCCTCCCCTCCGCGGCCCGCGCGGCCTCACCCCTATGGCGCGGCCTCTTCCGGCCGGCGGGAGGGCGGGCGGCGGGGCGGGGCCGGGCGGGAGGGGCGAGCCGGTGGAGCGAGCGTCCCGGGCTGGCGCCCCGCCGCCGGCCGGCCCGTCATGCTCATCACGCTGTGCTACCTGTACCTGTGGGCGCGCTGGGGGCGCCGGCCGGCCGCGCTCGTGCGCGCCACGGTGCAGCGGCTGCGCGCCTCCCGCTGCTCCTTCACCTTCTGCGGCGCCGCGGCGCGGCCCCGGGACGCCCGCGTGTGTCTGAGCCGCGGCGGCCGCGTCTTCTGCGTCGGGGAGAGCCAGGTGGGCGGGCGCGGGGCCGGAGCCGGAGGGGGGCGGGGCCGGGGCCGGAGGGGGGGCGGGGCCTCGGCGCGCGGGGGGCGGGGCCTCGGGGGGCAGCGGGCCGGAAGCGGCCGCGGGCTCCGCGCTGCTCTCCGGGCGGTGCGGGCGGCGCGAGGGGTGCGAGCCCGGGGGCCGCGGACTCGGGGCTCCTCTGCGCGCGGACCTGCGGGGAGCAGGCGTGCGGGCGGAGCGCCCGGGGAGGCCCGCCTGGCCCCCGCCTTTCCACGTCAGGCGGCCCGCGCTGCCCACCGGCAGCGTCCTGCGACCTCCTCTGCGGTGCGGGCCGGAGTTGGGCGGAACCTGCCTTCGCGGGAAGACGGCAGATCCTCAGCCGCTGTCCCTGATCTCCGAGGCGACAGAAACGGCCCGGTCGCTGGCGGGTTTTACCAACCAGCCCCACGCGTTGTCGGTTTGCGCATAGGCTTTGATTTTTTTGACCCAGTTCTTGGCCGGATAGCTGCACGTTGAGCAGGCTCTTCCACCTGCCGGTCCTGGAGTCTGCGCGAATCCCCTGTTCCCCTTTCTGAAAAGGGGGGGCCACACTTCTCTGCGCTCAGCAGTTGGACGTGGACCTGACTTGGCAGTGCAGTTCTGCGCACATTTCCCATCACTAGCACTTCTCATTAATATTTAAGAGTGCTTGCTTTTTTAAAAGATATTTTTTATTTATTCACGAGAGACAGAGACACAGGCAGAGGGAGAAGCAGGCCCCATGCAGGGAGCCCGACGTGGGACTCGACCCCGGGTCTCCAGGATCAAGACCTGGGCCCAAGGCAGGGGCTAAACTGCTGAGCCACCCAGGGATCCCCCAAAAGTGTTTGCTTTTAATGGGTTTGTTTCCCTTTCCTTTTCCTTCTGAAAAGTTGGCTCACTTTTAGCATCGGAGTAAGATTTTCTTTGTGTGGGAAGCCATAACACCCACGTGGGAATTAAAATCTTATCTTAGGTTTGAATACTTTGTTTATGCCTAAGTATGAAATTATACCCGGCTTCTGGCAAATCAAAAATACCCTTCCTTGTTAGTATACTATGGCACACAGAAAATGAGATGAGTAACTCTTCTAGTCCTGAGAGAGTGCTTAGTTAGTACCACCTAGAGGCAGGATGGGGAGACATTCATTCCACCTGAGAGCCTAATTAATTAATTAGGGCTTAATTCTCTCAAGGAACCTGGGTGGAAAGAACAAAATAAGGAAAAATTGAGAGGGTGCATTTTTCTGTTGCAGTGGTTTCCAATCAGGATTCATTTACTTAACCATTAAGATTTCAATTAGAGGCGCAGCGGTTTGGTGCCTTTGGCCCAGGGCGCGATCCTGGAGACCCGGGATCGAATCCCACGTCGGGCTCCCGGTGCATGGAGCCTGCTTCTCCCTCTGCCTGTGTCTCTGCCTCTCTCTCCTTCTCTCTCTGTGACTGTCATAAATAAAAAAAAAAAAAAAAAGATTTCAATTAGAGTAAACATTTTGGACATTCACCCTATGTCAGATGCTCAGATATCATCATCTCAAGGAGATGTTCCTCGTTCTTCAGACTAGAGGGGACGGGCCGGTGCTGTGCCCACATAAACTTTATTATTTTTTTTCCACATAAACTTTAAATCACCCTTCATATTTCCAGTTTTTATCTTTTTCTCCCTAGGAATTGGGTCTGTTTAGCTTAGCAGCTTGCCTTGGGAATAGTCACTTAGCATTTCAGTGAATGAAGGAGTGGTTAGTGGTTGTTGGGTTTTAGCGCCGATGTTTAAGGCCTGTAATTGGAAAACTTGACTTTTTGTGGTTAGCTACTGTTCATTTCAGCTGTAAAATATGGTAGGGCTACTGATTTGGTTGGCTAGATACCTTGGCAGTCCACCTGGGCTGACGTTAACTTTACAGAAATGAATCTTAGGTCTCACGTTGTCTTCTTAACATCGCATATTTAGACGTGGGTGCATAGAATTTGTATGTTTATATAATTGAAGCTCCCGCAGAAATTGATAACTAGAATCAAAGAGTTTATACAAACTGGAAATTTAAAGATGTTTTGTTTAATATACACACATTCCGTGTTTGAGTAAGGTGGACGATCTGTTTTTTGTTAACTTAAAAAAATTTTCTTTTTAAGAATTTATTCATTTATTCATGAGAGACACACACAGAGAGAGGCAGAGACATAGGCAGAGGGAGAAGCAGGCTCCCTGCGAGGATCCTGATGTGGCACTCGATCTGGGACCCTGGGATCACGCCCTGAGCCAAAGGCAGAGGCTCAACCACTGAGCCACCCAGGCGCCCTTTGTTGTTAACTTCTATATTGATAATTATGTTTACCCACAGAGTTTTTTCAACCCCCAATTTTTTTTTTTAAAGATTTTATTTACTCATTCATGAGAAACAGAGAGGAGAGAGAGAGAGGCAGAGACACAGGCAGAAGGAGAAGCAGACTCCACGGCAGGGAGCCCCACGTGGGACTTGATCCTGGGCCTCCAGGATCACACCCTGGACTGCAGGCGGCGCTAAACCGCTGAGCCACCTGGGCTGCCCCTCCCCAAATTTTTATTCACTAATTTGTTCAGTAGATTTTTATCAATATTCTACGTGAGCCAGGTTACTAGGCCAGGTGGAAATGCTTTTTGATCCTCCCAGCAAGGGCAGATTTGAATTGGTAAGCAGTGGGTGGAGCCTGACCTTTATGGGGGGGGTAGTGGTAGGGCTCATCCCTTGCAGCCTTAGATTTCAGCTTTTCTGCTCTTGATATCCCTTTATTAGTGGGTTAAAGCCTTTTCAAATTCATTTGCTATCTTTTTAGAGAGATTTCAGGAGGGAGAGCACAGATAAACGACATATGCAATCTGATAACCGATGTTGATGCTATCTATAATCCTTAGAGGAAATGGAAGACTTCTTCAGGCTCCTGTTAATAATGCACTTCTTTTACCAGCTTGCACTTCTGAGCCTCCACACCTTTAAATGTGCTTCGGAGTTGTGATTTGGAAAACTCCTCATGCCTTAAGCAGTCAGGCATGGTAGGGGTGAGCCCAGCTTCACAATTAATGGTGGATCACAAATATCTATAGATGTTAAAGTTACAAATCGTAGAAGGGATGCTGCAGGTGTTTAAATAGTCACAATTCGGGGATCCCTGGGTGGCTCAGCGGTTTAGCGCCTGCCTTTGGTCCAGGGCGTGATCCTGGAGTCCTGGGATCGAGTCCAGCATTGGGCTCCCTGCGTGGAGCCTGCTTCTCCCTCTGCCTGTGTCTCTGCCTCTCTTTCTCTGTGTCTCTCATGAATAAATAAATAAAATCTTAAAAAAAATAAATAGTTACAATTCAGTAAGAGATGCAGGGTTAATGTGGTGTATAGGAGACCACCCGAGAACCTTATTTAGATCCCGTCTGGAATTACAGAGGGAAGGTCCTGGTTGTTGATATAAGTGGCAATTGTGGTTTGAAGTGATATTAAATCCTCCTTTTTTGTGTGTTTCTTTCCCTCTGTCCAGTCCATCGATGACTTGAACAAATGGGCCCTATTTATTGTCTCTCCATTTATACTGGAAGCGGAACACATAGCATTTGTGACAGAGAGCATTTGGGTGCAAGGTGAGAGTTTACAGAGACCATCTTCCTCTTCAGAAACCGTGAGTAACATGTTTTTTGTTTTTTTTATCACATGTTTTTTTAATCAAAGAAACTATGTCTTTTTTTTTTATTTTAAGATTTTATTTGTTTATTCATGAGAGACACAGTGAGAGAGAGAGAGAGGCAGAGACATTAGGCAGAGGGAGAAGCAGGTTTCCTGTGGGGAGCCTGATGCGGGACTTGATCCCAAGACCCCGGGATCACACCCTGAGCCCAAGGCAGACTCTCAACCACTGAGTGACCCTAGCGCCCAGCAAACTATGTCTTAACCAAAAGTAAATTTTATTTCTCCCTTGTTCTTTCCTAGCCTTTGTGACTCCCTTTCTTTTATGGATGTTTTGGGTTAAAGAAAAACATATTACTAAAATTATTTTCATCTGTTTCTTTTTATTTTGTAATGTGGCTGCTAGAAAAACTGCCTGGGTGGCTTATGTTACGTTTTCATCGGGCAGCGCTGCTTGCTGCTCAAGGGACATCCAATCTGTCCTCCACTTCCTTCAAATTGGCCAAAGTGGTTAATTTATATCACCATGTCCTTCCTAGATATCTCCCCTGGAATATTGTAAAAACACCTCAAACCTGATAACCTGTCCCAAAGTAGTTGTTTCTATTTCTCTGTTGGAAAAAAAGGATAGTCTCAGAGGAACATCCCAACCTGTTCTTCCTCTCAACTCCTGCCTCCTTCCTGCGATGAAGGTCCAAATTCTACAGAGCCCCCCCCCCCAGGTGTCTGAGCTTCATTTCCGTTCCTCATTTCGTGCTCAGCTTTAGACCATGAAAGTGTCATCCTGTCTTGTGTCTGTGGGTTTTCCTCTTGATGGCCAGAGTTCTCTTTCAAGATACAAATCCAGGGAAGCAGGCTCTTGCTCAAGCTACACTGGATGCTTTTCACCAGACACAGTCATGCCCTTAGGCTCATGGAAGTCCACGGATTTATTTATTTATTTATCTTTAGAGATTTTTATTTATTTATTCATGAGAGACACACAGAGAGAGGCAGAGACACAGGCAGAGGGAGAAGCAGGCTCCCTATAGGGAGCCGGGTGCGGGACTCAATCCCTGATTCCTGGACTGGGATCATGCCCTGAGCCTAAAGCAGATGCTCAACTGCTGAGCCACACAGGTGACACCAAAGTCCACTGATTTAAATGTTAATCACACGTCAGGGTACCTGGGTGGCTCATTCGTTTGGGTCTCCAGCTCTTGCTTTCGTCCCCAGGTCATGATCTCAGGCCCTCTGAATGTGGAGCCTGCTTGAAATTCTCCTGCTCTCCCTCTGCCCTTTGGCTCCCTCCGTCTCTTAAAAAAAGAAATGTTAATCACATCTAAAAAATACCTTTCCGGTCACATCTGGACTGAAATTTGTCCACACACCTGGGTACCATGGCCTAGCTGAGCTGACACATGAAATTAACCATCACCTGGCTGACGCTCAGCTGACTGTTGAGATCTCTGTTCCCGCATTTGCCGCAGGCCACCTTGGGAAGGAGAGTTTGTTGAAGAGCCACCCCCGAGAATTTAACATGCTCCTTGGTCCTGGGCCTTCCTGTGGCCGCGTGTTGAGTTGAGCAGGTGCATCACTGCCTCCTGTCATTGACAAAACTACAAAGTCACGAGCTTTGGTTATGGAAGGGATTTCTGGCAGGAAATCCATTTGTGTTTAGGGCTGACCAGGGCTTCCTTCCCTTTGATCTTTGGGAGCAAGCCATTGGTCTGACTTCCCCTTTCTTTCTCAATCCCTTTGTTCCCAACTCGAAGTGCAAACTGGAAGCGCCCTGTTTGCTTTTAGACAAACAGCCCTGGATGTGTCGGTGACAGTGTGGCTTTGCTTTGATGGAGCACACGGCACTGCTTGAGGAGTTTGCATGGTCTGTGGCTCGTGGACCATGTTTCTACAAAAAGGAAATGCACTTAGGTGAGGAAACAGCTGGCTGTGTTGAGAAACCTGATCAGAGGGATGTGTGTATTGTTCTCTGGCGGCTTCCTGTCCATCCCAGTGCTTGGCTTATCTCCCCCTTCTCTCCTCCTTCAAGGGTGTCTGAGAATTTCATTATTGGCTCCTTTGACACTAAATGCTTACTGTGAGGCATAGCTCCACACCACTGGCTGTTCCAGCAGGGTGCTCAGTCAACTTTTGAGCAACTGGGCAGGGTTTCCACTGGCTGATGATGCCTCCTCCTCCTTTGATTGCCTGCAATGTGCTGTTGGCTTCAGGCAGGAGGTTGGTTGTGCTGTTCCCTTCCTACATTTCCCATCCACCCTCATCTGCACGGTCCAGCTCTTGCCCAGGCCTTAGTTTATCTTCTCATCCTCCTGAGGGGACATCCTTCCTCCATTCTTGAAGCTGGAAATCAGCTACATATTTGTGTGAATTGTCAGCATCTGCTGTCCTCCCAGATCAGAGGTGTCGGATTTGAGATGCAGAGTCCCCCTGAAATGCTGGTCAGGTGAACCCTGACTCTGAACTCTGGCTGCATGTCTGGCGGGAGGTGGAGAAGTCGGTGATCAAATGGAGAGCAGGCCACATATAGAGCTAGAAGAAAATCCTGAGGCTTTTCTTTCTCCAGATATCCTAGACCTGTTAGTGGGTTTCAATCTTTAGACCATAAAGACTTGACTCTCATTTATTAAGTACCCCCCCCCCCAAAATAAGAAAGTTTTTCCCAACTTTATTTCAACGGCTTCTCGAATGAGGAACATTAGATTCAATTTGAATTCTAAGGAGAGACATGCAATAATAAGGAGTAAGATTTTGTGGGTCGGGTTCATCCTTGGAGGGCCACAATCCTTTGTGCTATCTATAACTTTTTTCACCCTCCCTCACCCACCTCCATCATCCTCAAACTAGTTTTTGCCCACTCAGGGGGGATATGGTCCCTGCTGAGAATACCTGCTTTTAGGACTCCAGGTTTGTTTGTTTGTTTGATTATTTAAAGATTCTTTTTATTTATTCATGAGAATCAGAGAGAGGCAGAGACATAGGCAGGGGGAGAAGCAGTCTCCCTGCAGGGAGCCTGTTGTGGGACTTGATCCCAGGACCCTGGGATCGTGACCTAAGCCAAAGGCAGATGCTCAACCACTGAGCCGGCCACATGCTCCTTTGTTCATTTTTTAAAGATTTTGTTCTTTTGAAAGAGTGAGAGAGCGCCAGCAGGGGGGGAGGAGGGAGGGGCAGAGGGAGAGGGAGAAGCAAACTCCTTGCTAAGTAGGGAGCCCTATGCAGGATTCCATCTCAGGACTCTGGGGTCATGACCCAAGCCTAATGAAGGGCAGATGCTTAACCAACTGAGCCACCCAGGCACCCCCACTTTGTCTATTTTTAAATTGGAGTATTTTGTCTTTATTGTAGGAGCTCTTTCTATATTTTTATACATTATGGATACAAGTCTTTTATCAGATAAGTGATTTGCAAATATTTTCTCCCATTTTGTGGATTGTCTTTCTTTCCACTGTCTTGCAGCTTTTCTTTGAAGCCCAAAGATTTTGATGAAGCCCAATTTATGTTTTTCCTTTTCTTGCATGTGCTTTTGGTGTCCTGAGAAACCATTGCCTGATCTGAGGTCATGATGATGTAGGCCCTGTTTTCTTCTAAGAATTTTGTAGTTTTAGCTCTTATATTGAGGATCTGACCCAGTTTGAGTTGATTTTTGTACCTAGTAAATGGCATGATGTAGGGGTCTATTTTTATTCTTTTGCACATAGTTACCTGGTTATACCAGCACTGTCTGTTGAAAAGATTGTTCTTTTCCCATTGAATGGTCTTGGCAACCTTGTCCCAAATCAGTTGTCTGTAGGCGTATGCATTTATTTCTGTGCTTTCAGTCCCATTGCATTGATCTATGCCAGTTGGACCTTGACTTTTGAATGCCACGTCTCCTGAGTGAGCAAGTTCCCTAAAGGCAGAGGAGGCTGGGCTTGTTGGAACTCCCCTTACCGCTCTAAGGTTCAGAATTCATCCCAGCATCGGGTGGGGCAGTGCTTCATTATCTAGTTGTTTCTTCAGCGCTTTCAAGATGTTTTATTGATGTAATCCAGCACTTTCTCATTGTTCTCAGCAAGTGTTAGTTCTAAAAACCTAGCCTATCAGTTTAAAAAATGGAATTCAAAATTATTTATCTCAGATTATGAAATTTGGGGCAATTTGTTATGGGAAACCGGGAAATCATTCATGGCATCTTTTTTTTTTTAATTTTTATTTATTTATGATAGTCACACACACACACAGAGAGAGAGAGAGAGAGAGAGAGAGAGAGAGGCAGAGACACAGGCAGAGGGAGAAGCAGGCTCCATGCACCGGGAGCCTGACGTGGGACTCCATCCCGGGTCTCCAGGATCGCGCCCTGGGCCAAAGGCAGGCGCTAAACCGCTGCGCCACCCAGGGATCCCTCATTCATGGCATCTTAAAAAAAAAGACCATTCTAGTCACTTGCTTTTATTTTTATTTTTTATTTTTTTGCTTTTATTTTTATGTTTTTGTTTTACTTTATAAAAGATTTTATTTATTCATGAGAGACACGGAGGCAGAGACACAGAGGGAGAAGCAGGCTCCCTATGGGGAACCCGATGCAGGACTCCATCCCAAGACCCTGGGATCATACCCTGAGCCAAAGGCAGATGCTCAGCCGCTGATGCCCTAGTCACTTGCTTTTAAAGCCAGATTCATAATAGCTAATAATTGTGGCTTTCATCACTTGGGCGCTTTGCTGCCCCCAGGCCTTCCCCTGGGGACATTATATACTCATGGATCTCATTAACATAACAAACCTATAAGATGACTGAGTATTAGTATCACTATTCCTGTTTTATGAGTAAGGAAGCTGGGACTCCCGAGACTTGCCTGAAGACACACAGCAAAGATGAGCTGAGTTTGACCCAGACCCAGGTCCCTGACACCAGAGCCAGGCTCTTAACCCCCAGGGGCTCCAGTCCTTGTCCCAGGTTCACCTTCTTCACTGACAAAAACTGGAACGCGTCTGGGACTGCATTTTTCCTGAGCTCCTTTTCCCTGTCTCCCTAGTGGTGGAAATGTGAGCTGGGACATGCAGGAGCTCTCTAGAGGGTCCTGGACAGTGGTTTCCCAGTTTTAGGAAATCGAGGGGGAGCCCCGTGTAGAACCTCAGAGTCCTGGGCTGCGGCTGCAGAGAGCGTGGTGTCGGGTTGGGCTGTGCTCCCATGCTCCTGGGGAGTTGGGGTGCAGTGGGCCTCCGACCACACTGGAGCCAAAGCTGGTCTTCGGATTATGTTATAAATCACTGCATGGGGTGCCTGGGGGGCTCAGTCGGCTAGGCAGGCTAGGCATTCTGCCTTCGGCACAGGTCACGATCCCAGGGGTCCTGGGATCAAGCCCCGCATTGGGCTCCCTGCTCAGTGGGGAGCCTGCTTGCTTTCCCTCTACCTCTGCCACTCCCCTTGCTTGTGCTGTCTCGGTCTCTGTCAAATAAATAAAATCTTTAAAAAAGAAATTACTGGATATTGCAGACCTGTTGCTTTCTCCTAATTCCTGTTACTAAAGGGCACATTGGTGTGTTTCCATGGCCCTTTCCCCTTTCAGCTCCTTGAAAAGCAGTTGAGACTTCAATTGCTTTTATTTTATTTTATTTTATTTTATTTTATTTTATTTTATTTTATTTTATTTTATTTTATTTTATTTTATTTTATTTTATTTTATTTTATTTTATTTTATTTTATTTATATTTTGTAGATTTTATTTATTTATTCATGAGAGACACAGAGAGAGGCAGAGACATAGGCAGAGGAGAGGTAGGCTCCTTGCAGGGGAGCCTGATGCGGGACTGGATCCCAGGACCTTGGGATCATGACCTGAGCTGAAGGTAGATGCTCAACCACTGAGCCTCCCAGGTGCCCTTAAGACTTCAATTGCTTTTAAGAGAGAGGGTTGTATTTAGTGCTTTGGAAGCCCTGTTGTCAGTTAGAAACAAGAATGTTCCGGCCGGAACAAATTGGATGTTAATAAAACAGAATATCCAGTAGCTCATTATGTTTAACTGTAATTTATCGGTGGGAGCTGAAGGGAAGAGTAAAGTATCTGCTTATTTCAGAGAAGAACAATCTCACTGTCTTTTTCTCTCTCCTCCCTCACCCCTGTTTCTCAGATTGTGAAGTGGTCCGACTGCTGTTTGCCATTAGCTTGCAGACCTGGGGATCCTTATCAATTAATTGCTGAAGCAAGCGTGGATGACTTCAGTAAGCTGGGGGTGGCGTTCATGGAAGATAGACTCCAGATGGCTGATGGCCTGATACCTCAAAAGATTGTTTGTAAGTGACTTTCGAAGTGTTACCATCAGGGATGCCTGGCTAGCTCAGTCACAAGAGTAGGCACTCTTGAGTGAGTTGTGAGATTGAGGCTCATGCTGGGTGTAGAGATTACTTAAATAATTAGAAACATTTTTAAAATATATTTTTAGCATACCAGGAGATCCATTGATTATTACCTTAAGGACTGTTGAACCCTCTTGTTTGGTGTGGTTTAAGGCAAGTATGCATCTTCAGTTTAATGCACTCAACGGGTTGGATATATTTATAATATGAGATTAATACATGTGTTAGGGTTTTTTGAGATGCTTATCTCTAAGTATATCAATAGTGCTTTCTTAAAAAATTTAAAAAAAATTTCAAAAAAGATTTTGTTTATTTTTTCACAAGAGACACAGAGAGAAAGGCAGAGACATAGGCAGAGAGAGAAGCAGGCTTCTTGCAGGGAGCCTGACACAGGACTCCATCCCCAGACTGGGATCACGCCCTGAGCCAAAGGCAGAGGCTCAACCACTGAGCCACCTGGGCGTCCCTCAGTAGTGCTTTTAAAATTCTCTTTTTTATTTAAGTGGACTCCACGCTGGGCCCAACTTAGGGCTTGAACTCACAACCCAGAGTCTGGATCTGAGCTGAGATCAAGAATCTCACGCTTACTCGACTGAGGCACCCAGGTGCCCCAGTGATTTTTAAATTCTTAAACAAGGATTTCCCATGATTGCATCGTCCGTGGGATGGCGTGCAAATGTAGAACCCATATAATGTTTGTTTCACACAATCTAAAAAGCATAACTAGTTCCTAGACTATAGTTCGACTGAATGTAAAGTGTAGCCAATGGTAGTACAAAGTTCTTAATCTAACAGTTTTTAACTTGAAAAATATGTATCACAATATTTTGAGATACATCTTTTTCTCAGGAAACGTGAAAAATGTCTTCATTTATTAGGTTTATTTTTATTTTAAATTTTTATTTTTTAAAAAAGATTTTATTTTTTGAGAGACAGAGAGCGAATGAGCGAGCAAGCGTAAGCGTGAACAGGGGGAGGGCAGAGGGAGAAGCAGACTCCCTCCTGCTGGATGGGGAGCTCAACGCGGGACTGGATCCTGGGACTCAGGGATCACGATCTGAGCTGAAGAGAGATGCTTAAGTGACCGAGCCACCCAAGCAACCCCCTTAATTAGGTTTAAAATTGAGTTTCTATGTCCATGAAAGTCTTCATTTGTATCTTGAGCGAATGAGTGTTACCAGCTCAGGAAATTCTTGTAAATCATTTAATTTCCCAATTTGGCATGTGCATGCACCTGATACCATGTCAGATTCATAACAAGTGCTCAATAAATGTTTTTGAATCAATGATTGGAAGGAAGCTTCTATTCCAGTCCTGAGGTAAGATTCTGGAAAGACCCTTTTCCCATAGTGATTCTACAAAGTGTCCTGAGAGCCCCTGCTGCCTGGAGGTATGCATGGATACACTAGATAGCTGCCTGTTTTTGTTTCTTGGTTTCATTTTCTTATTAGGACACCCAAGAAATTGATTCCATAAGTAAGGCACACTTACCTCTCTGAAGCCCACCTTCTTAACCTGCCAACAAGGGGGTCTGGGGCTTCCCGGCTCACATGGGAAAGGTGTTGTGGACACCTGGATTTCACCGTTGGGATTGTCAGGTGCAGCCTCCTAACATGTGGGAACAATGCCATGGTGCCAGTGGATGCTGCAGACCTGCGGTGGGGGCGCAGGTGGTCTCCATTGGGTGGGCTGCCCTGGAGCAGAAGTCATGGAGTGCAGAGAGCACTGGGAGGTTTTGAACTGAACCGTGTGACGAATCAGAACGGCTGACGGCTTGTCTCTTCTGTTCATGTTTTAGCAGTGCATTTGCAGAACTGTACTCTGAAGGCGCTTGAGATCTCAAATAAGCAAGCCCATATCCTACAGCAGAATCCTGAACCTTCCACCGAGAGTAAGCCAGAGCCGGGCATTATGGAGTACATCGGTAAAGATGACCCCAAGGTTCTTCGTGCCCATCCCACACAGGGGGAAGCTGGTACCTCTGGCAGTGAGCCAGCTGAGGAGGATGACAAAGAAGTAGGCTCCGTTGAGCACTGTCCCCTCCATCTGTCTAGTTGCCATGAGTGTTTGGAGCTTGAGAATAGCACCATTGAATCTGTCAAGTTTGCATCTGCAGAGAACATTCCAGATCTTCCCTACGATCACAGTGGTGGTTTGGAGGATGTTGCTGATGACAGCTGCCCGGAGAGAGAAGGGAGGAGAGTCAACATCACAGGAAAGGCACCCAACATCCTCTTCTACGTGGGCTCTACCCCCCAGGAATCCCTGGGCAGGTTCCAGGAGGTCCGGTCCGTTCTGGCTGACTGTGTGGACACCGACAGCTATACACTCTACCACCTGTCAAAGGAAAGTGCCCTCAGAGACCCGTGGTCAGACAACTGTCTGTTGTTGGTCATTGCTACCAGGGAGGCTATTCCTGCAGACCTCTCCCAGAAGTTCATGGCCTACCTTTCTGAAGGAGGGAAAGTGTTGGGCCTGTGTTCGTCCTTCACACTTGCTGGCTTCCAGGTGATGAGCAAGAGCACGCTCAAGGAAACAGTCCAGAACTTGGTTTTCTCCAAGGCTGACCAGACCCAGGTGAAGCTCAGCATCTTGAGCAGCGGCTTCGTTTATGAGGATTGCTCTGGAGGGCAGCTCAGCCCGGGCCAGCTCCAGGGTCACCTGGAGAATGAGGACAAAGACAGGCTGATAGTGCAAGTGCCTTTTGGGACACGTGGAGGAGAAGCCGTTCTTTGCCAGGTATGAAGGCTGGCATCCATGTAGTGATCTTTGGGGATCTCTGAGAGTATGCTTTTTAAGGCTATATACTAGAAGGGTCAAAACAGTCTGTGCTTTGTGGGGTAGTTTTGATCCTTGGCTGGGAGTTTTTGCTGATGCTGAGTAGGTTTAGATGAGGGCTTTCCTGTCGGTAGAAATATCCCATTTCACCAAAATGCTTGGGATGGAGGAATGAAGCAAAGGCTGTCATGGCTAATTAAAGACTGCTAGTAAACCAAGAATCAGTCAGAAAATTCTTTCCTGTTTTGATCTATACTGGTAATAATCTTTACAAAATACATTAGTCTATTTGGTCTCAAAGCACATTGTGGTCAATATAATGGAACCTTTTAATTAATGTAGGGAGTTGAGCACCTCTGGCTGGTGATTTTCAGCGTTAATAACCATCACATTACAATGTTGTAGCTGAGGTAGCGGAAATGCTCACCAACTGCTGGGGTGGTGAATGTTGAAAACACTTCAAATCCTTGGTTCTTTTATGATTTTGTCACTCTTAAAGTCTAAATGCTGAGCAAAATTTCAGAGAGGAGAATATTGAAGCAGTTTAGATTTATGGCATATTAATACAACTAACCCCTGAATCACATGGCTTTGAACTGCATGGATCCTCTTGTGTGGAATTTTTTGGCTAAATACAGTTCAGTACTGTAAATGTATTCTCTGTTCCTTATGATTTTCTGTTTTTTTTTCTTTATTTAAAAAAATATTTTATTTATTCATGAGAGACAGGGAGAGGCAGAGACACAGGCAGAGAGGGACAAGCGGGTTCCCTGCAAGGACCCTGATGCAGGACTCGATCCCAGGACCCTGGGGTCATGCCCTGAGCCAAATGCAGAGGCTCACTCACTGAGCCACCCAGGTGCTCCTGTTGTTGTTTATTTTCATTTCATATGCATCCTAGGAGCAAAATCTCTTGGGTTTTCTGACCAAACATTCTTCAGGGGGTTATAAATTTGTTTTCTTTACTATTCTAAAGCCCATTCATTTGTTCTTAAGATAATACTCAGGCAAAGATGCATACAATTAAGAAATCTGGACATCAGGATAGACAAATATGTACAAGCTAAGCAGGTTTCATATAGGCTGAAAAGCACATGAATTAGTTTGGAGGCCTAATAAATGTTCCTCTTATCTTTTTCTCTGCAAAGATGGTAACTATAGCAACTGTGCATTCCCAGAAAATCCACTTAAAAACCTGACTTCCTAGAGCCGTATTTCAGTTTTGAATAGTGACTTTTACCACCCCTGTGCACAGACTTGTACTAGAAAATTGATTCGGCACTGCTACGATCCATTTCTCTGCGTTACATGGCAGCTCTGCTTGCTGCACCATTTAAATTGACCCCGTTACTGTCATAAAATTTGATACTGCATGCATTGCTCTAGAAAAAAAGGCAATACGATGCAGCTTCAAAAATCAGATTCAGAGGATTAGAATGTCATTTTTGATTTTCAATGACTTCCAGTCTTTGTGTGACAGGGTCACTGCTTTTTCCTCAGACCTGTGTCACTATAATACCTTGCCGCCGAGATCAGCCAATAAATGTTATCATGGGCTGGTTAGTTTCCTCTTTCCCTGGTCAGTTTCATCGTCTTTATCTCTAATAAATCGAGGAATGATGTAACCCAATAAGAAGGGGCACAGCACTTCAAGGGTAAACCACAGCTGCACAGTGGGTGGTGGTCTCACGGCCAAGGAGCTGCATGTGGATGCCTTTACCATTCGTCATAAGGAAAAAGGAAATTTTCGGGTGCTTGCTGTAATGATTAGGTTTGCAGGCGAAATTTAAGGCTGCGGATTAATGCTGACATTTGGTTATCAAAGCGACCGAGACTTTGGCATGAAGTTGGCCAAATAGATTTAAAAATAATTTATTTCCGGGATGCCTGGGTGGCTCTGTGGTTGAGCATCTGCCTTTGGCTCAGGGCTTGATCCTGAGGTCCTGGGATCAAGTCCTGCATCTGGCTCCCCGCAGGGAGCCTGTTTTTCCCTCTGCCTGTGTCTCTGCCTCTCTCTCTGTGTCTTTCAATATATAAAAATCTAAAAAAAAAAAAAATTATTTCCTTATTTAGCTTTAGCACATGGCAGTAGCAATCTAATTTTTACAGCAGGGTTTCTCCACCACTGCACTGCTGACATTTTGGGCTGATCCTCTTGTCACGAAGTCATCCTGTCCCATGCACTGTAGGGTGTCAGCAGAGCTACACATTACATGCCAGTAGCAACCCCCCTCCCCCCCTAGCCAATTTGTGACTGGAGATGTTTTAGTTCTGGCTTTTGGTCTAGCCAAAAAGCCTTAATTTTAGAAGAAGCCAAGTTATGGGAATGGACCCATCAGTATGGTAATAGTATGACAGCTGGAGGATGAGACGTTTCTTGGGTACCACAGAGGACCAGGAGTGCAAATCCAGAAGCATGCACTCTCCTGTCCTGTGAATTGAGGTAAAGAGCCAAAGGAGGTCTGTCTTTTCACTTCTGTTTTATTTATTTATTTTTAAAGTATTTATTCATGAGAGACACAGAGGCAGAGACACAGGCAGAGGAAGAAGCAGGCTCCCTGTGAGGAGCCTGATGTGAGACTTGATCCTGGATCTCAGGATCACGCCCTGAATCGAAGGCAGATGCTCAACCGCTGAGCCACCCAGGCATCCCTCACTTCCATTTTAGAAGCACCTCGTCTTGAAGCCCACAAAAGCACTCCTCACACAGTGTCAGTGGTTGTCCGTTATCTTACCTCCTGCAGCTCTTAAGGCCTGCTCGTGGGATGAGTGTTCCTTTTCCTCCTTGGCATCTCTCATGCATGACTGTGAGTTCACACCTCACTGCATGTGCTTCTTGAATCTTCTGGGTATTGACTCAGCCTGGGCTGTGTGTGTGCCATTAATCATGCTCACCACCTCTGCTCTGGGCCCAGGTCCTGGGAGAACTTCGCTCATTTTATTTCTGCCACCTGTTAGGGGTCATCTCCAGGAGAGCCACTTGCTCACGTGCTTGCATTGAACACAACCCACTGCTGTGCTCATTGGAGCAGCACTGGCTTAGCCCACTGGAGAGGAGAGGCCACATTTAGGGAGAGAACGCAGGGAAGGAGACTTGGATTCCTTGAAGGATTTCAATTCTCTGCCTCAGCTTCTCTCCAGGGCTTTTTGGAGGACAGACTTGGAGGACAGACTCACTCCTGCTCCTGGACGACAGGAGCAGCCGTCTGCTGGCCCGCTGTGGTGTGGGGCCATGCTGGACTTCTCTACAAACCTCAGATTGTCATCAATTTTGAATAGCTGGATCACTTTGGACAGTATATTTGGATGGTATTTTTGACTTGGTTAAATCTTGGGTAGGAATTGAGGGATATTACATTGCTCGAAGCCTGGCACCTTGCTTTTTATTTTATCATGCTCCTATGATATCAGGTCAGGAGCTCCACATACATCAGATATCTACAGCTGATCCTTGGAAAAGGTAAGATAAAATCAAGCAAACAGGCTTAGGTTGTTCAATATTCTGGGACCCTCCAGGGCTCTTTTTTTGTTTTGTTTTGTTTTTAAGATTTTATTTATTCATGAGAGACACACAGAGAGAGAAAGGCACAGACACAGGCAGAGGGAGAAGCAGGCTCCATTCCATGCAGGGAGCCTGACGTGGGACTCAATCCCGGGTCTCCAGGACCACACCCTGGGCTGAAGGCAGTGCCAAACCGCTTAGCCACCCGGGCTGCCCCCACCCTCCAGGGCTCTAATCCGATCTTAAGAGGACCAGAGGTTCTAGCATGTTCCTTCAGAACAAGATACAGAGGGGTCTGGTGGGGCTGTTTGATTGATTGATTGAAAAAATATTTTTATTTATTTTTAAAAGATTTTATTTATTCATTCATGAGAGACACATAGGCAGAGACACAGGCAGAGGGAGAAGCAGGCTCCATGCAGGGAGCCCGATGTGGAACTCTATCCCAGGACCCTGGGATCACGACCTGAGCTGAAGTCAGATGTTCAACCACTGAACCACTCAGGTGCCCCTAAAAAAGATTTTATGTATTAGAGAGAGAGAGAGAGAGAGAAAGAGAAAGGAAACACAAGCTGGGAGGAGGGGCAGAGAGAGCAGCAGACTCCACTGAGCAGAGAGCTGGATGCGGGGCTCAATCCCAGGACCCTGAGGTGATGACCTGAGCCAAAGGCAGATGCTCAACCCACTGAGCCACCCAGGTGCCTCCCAGTGGGGCTGGTTTAATTTGAAGTGGACGACAAAGCCTGAACTAAATAGATTGTCTTGAATCTTAAATTCAATCCAGGTGAAGGAGGATGGGGAGGAAGGGCTTTTCTGGGGTTCCCCAAACCCCGCTTCTTCTGTCTGAATGCATGCAAACACTCTTCCAGTGGTGAGCGAGGCTACTGTCCATCCTGGGGTTGATTCCTGGTGGTTATGACTCAGGTAGAGTGAGGGTTTCTTTTTTTTTTTTTTATTTAATTTTTTTTTATTTTTTTAATTTTTATTTATTTATGATAGTCACACAGAGAGAGAGAGAGATGCAGAGACATAGGCAGAGGGAGAAGCAGGCTCTATGCACCGGGAGCCCGATGTGGGATTCGATCCCGGGTCTCCAGGATCGCGCCCTGGGCCAAAGGCAGGCGCTAAACCGCTGCGCCACCCAGGGATCCCAGAGTGAGGGTTTCAACATGACCCCTGGCCTCCCGGAGGTCGGCAGCGACCTTAATTGGGTTCTCAGCACAATCATATTTCTCGATGTTTTGGTGGAATCATCAAGGTAAGCAACTTGCCCAAGGTCCCCCGACTGGTCAGTGATAAAAGTTGGGACCCAGATGGAATCCGATTACTATCCAGGCTCATTTCCAGCAACCGCCTTTCTGCCCGGCTGCTGTGATTTCAATCGGCTCCTTTGAGTCTCTTTAACCGCTGTTGTTACTCTCCAAATGTTCAAGTTCAGTGTTTCCATACTGTTGATAATTCGAAGGATTCCTGTTCAGGTTTTCAGAAAAGCCAGGGAAGCACCGATTCCCGTAAGGTGGGTAAGTGCCCCCCCCCCTTTACCAGGTGGTATCTTTTCCCCTCAGGCCCACCTAGAACTACCTCCCAGCTCTTCAGTGGTGCAAGGCCAGGAGGATTTTAATCTGCTCAAATCAAGCAATCTCAGAAGATATGAAGTCCTTAGGGAGATCCTGACAACGCTCGGCCTAAACTGTGACATGAAACAAATTCCTGCCTTGACGCCTCTTTACTTACTGCCTGTGGCGGAGGTGAGTGCGGAGCTCTGGTGGGACGGAGACCCTGCTCCTCTGTGGTTTCGATTGTGATTTCTGCTTTTATTCTTTTTATTTTTAAATTTTTTTAAAGGATTTTATTTATTTATTCATGAGAGACACACACAGAGAGAGAGAGGCAGAGACACAGGCAGAGGGAGAAGTAGGCTCCCTGCGAGGAGGCCGATGCAGGACTCGATCCCAGGACCCCTGGGATCAAGACCTGAGCCAAAGGCAGGTGCTCAACCACTGAGCCACCCATGCCCCTCTGCTTTTTTTTTTTTTTTTTTTTTTTTTCTGCTTTTATTCTAACGTCAGGTTTGGGAACCGTCGTAAAGCCAGCCAAGTATAACTGGTATTTTTGGTGTTCGTGTGTGAGGGAGGGAGAGAAGGGGTTCTGGCTTAAAGGTCGTGGCTCAGTCACTTTAGGGGGCACAGGGGACACTCTTTTATGTGTCAAGAGTATCTTTGGAAACCACAGTTTATTCATTTGGGATGAAAACCTTTGCTTTGATCCGGGCCTTTCTCAGTGACTATTTGGATGGCAAAATCCCAAGTTTTGTTTCATTTACGCCGATGTCTGCCATCTTGTGGCAGAAGGGGCTCTGCATTTCAGTTTCTATCTCCTGGTTGTGTCTACAAGGAAAATGCAGGAATTGTCCCGGGCTTTTGACTGCCTTTGATCAAGTCTGCGGTTGTTACCTGGTTTGCACAGGTCACCACATTCTCTGGGGGTGTCTCCTCCCGCTGACCCCTTTGCTTTGCCAGGCTGTCAGTTTCTTATTAATTGTGGCAAATTATTTTGTGGGTCTTTTCCTGGTCTCCGTTAAATAGGGAAATTTGAGTGTTTAATAGATATCACCATGCAGTTTCAGCAAATACCTGATAGTCCAGGTGACGCCAAACACCAAACTTACCTGCTTTCCCTTGAGAAGAACAAAGTATACTTCCTACCTCAACCTTTTAATTTTTTTAAGATTTTATTTATTTATTCATGACAGACAAGAGACACACACAGAGAGAGGCAGAGACACAGGCAGGGGGAGAAACAGGCTCCATGCAGGGAGCCCGATGCGGACTCGATCCCTGGTCTCCAGGATCAGGCCCAGGGCTGAAGGTGGCTGGGCCACGGGGGGGCTCAACCTTTTTAAAAGGGAAGAAACTCCCTTTGGATTCTACTCTGCCCCTTGGCATACTTAGTTTTCAGAGGAAAGCAGAGCAGTGGGGTCTCTGGGTGGGATGTGCTCACTTGGAGAAGACAGGTATAAACTCCAAGGCAGGTAGGATTAGGGTACCTTATACGATTGATTATGTGAAGTTTCCAAGAAATAATGTATGTTAAAGTTTTATGTGAATTGTATTATTTAAAAGACAATCAAATTATTAATATTATTATAATTAGACTGTTTGGAGTTTTAATAAGTTGCATGTATATAATGTACTTAAAAGTGCCTGGTGTCTAGTTTTAAAAAGATTTTGAAAAAAAAAAGATTTTGGGTAATGTTTTAAATTTTAAAAGTGAATGATACTGCAGTGGATGATTTTTTCCCATTTAAGGAACATTCTTTTTTATTTTCTTTCTTTTTTTTTTCTTTTAAACAGTACTCAGCTTTTATTATTATTTTTTTCATTCTTTTTTTTTTTTTTAAAGATTTTTATTTATTTGTTTGACAGAGAGAGTGCACAAGGAGGGGGTCAGGCAGAGGGAGAGGGAGGAGCAGGCTCCCCACTGAACAGGGAGCCTGCCAGGAGACACGGTTCCAGGACCCTGGGAGAGTTACTTGAGCAGAAGGCAGATGCTTAACCAATTGTGCCACCCAGGTACCCAAAGAAACATTCTTTTATAGCATTTTCATGATAGTGATTAGCTAGTTTGTACTCTTTATTTTAATGTTTTATTAAAATTTTTTAAAGTTTATTTATTTTAGTAATCTCTACACCCATCGTGGGGCTTTATTCACCACCCTACCCCAAGGTCAAGAGTTACGATTGAGCCAGCTAGGTGCCCCCCTACTCTTTTTTAATGGGTGCTCTTGGGAATCCATAGTATGACTTTGGTTTGTGGCTTGATCTCAGGAATTCAAAGCCCCACATCATTTGTCTCTGTTTTAAATGTTCAGTTAATAGAAGGAAAGCAGCGAATCCATCTTGTGACTTTTATCAAAATAAAGTGGGTCCTCAGAGCTTCACTTCCTATAGACGGCCCACTTATTGTCCTCCCACTTTGGAGAGATGGGACAGAGCCTGTGGTAAGGGTCACTGGTCCCAGGTGAGTTGTCCTGGGACTGTCACTGTCCTAAATCATCTCTCTCTGCCCTTTCCTGGTCGTGGAGGGCTGAGTCTGGAAATGTGAGGGAGTGCCTGCTTCTTCTGGGGTCATGGAGCAAGATAGACCAGGCTTGCCCTTGGCAGTACTCCTTGACCTTTCCTGGGAATTCCGACTGGGAATCCTGAGCACACTGGTCTTGGGACTTGCTCTTCTGGACTCTTGGATGTATCAATGAAGAGGAAATAGTGTTCTCAATGTTTGAACTCTAGGCATTTCTTGTGTTTCTTTAGGATGGGTATAACCTGAAAGGCCTAAGCAGGGGCTTTGTATTGTGTGTCTGCTTATATTAATGTATCCAGTAGATGCTTCATGGTTTTTTTCCATTGGGTTCTCTAAACTGCCTGTGGGTGGGTAGGTGGGGGGATACGTTTCCCTGACTGATAGGTGACCCTCATTCACAGACCTTGGGGATGAAGTGCTTGAACACCATTAAAGCAAGTATTTGTTCTTTGTGCGGATACACAGACACCCCACATAGACTCCAGGACTACTAAGTTCCTCCTTACAGAATAACTTTGGGAGCAAACACTTTTCAGAAATGTTCTTTCCTCATTTCGGGCCTTCCAGTGGGTCTGGTTGCCTTGGATCTCTATGCTGTGGATTACTTTTTCTCCCTACTGCTTTTCTCTGAATTCCTTTTTACTCTGGGAGCCCAAGGAACTGAGTGCGTGGGTATACGGTTGTTGCGTGTACCCTCATTCCTTAGAGGATATCCTCTATCCTCCTTCTAGAAGACTTTGAATCTACTGTCAAAGGAAATATAAGAATTCAGGGTGTGAGAGTCTGTTTTCCTGGAGTACATATTCCTTAAAGGATTATCAGGCAAATGAATGTGAAGGTAGACCAGGACAGACTTCGATGATCATTCTGGAGGCAGCCGCCGAATTCCTTGGGGTCTTCTCCTAATGCCGAGGTGACGACATCTAGGGATGTGGTCTAGTCATTGTGCCGATGGCTTAGCACTTAGAGATGGTTTGGGATGATAGTTTGGGAAGAGAGTTGGGTGGTACTTTGTATTTGGTTTTCTTTCCTGCAGCCTCCTTACAAGATCTCGTAGATCCCTGTGGAATTAAGGCATGTGGGGAGGCTGCTGGCATCCCGGCATCCGTACTACATGGCCCGTCCGTGGCTCCATCACTTGCCCTGAGGATTCTGTGCCTGCGCTGGCTCCTGCTCCCTTGAAAGTACTCTGTGCTCTTAGGAATCGCCCACCTGTCACCGCACGGTGTCGCTGCTGAGCTAGGCTGCCTGGTGAACAGACTCCCTAGACTGGGAAGGAGTTCAGAGACTAAAAAAAGTCTCTGCACCAGCTGCACATACTTTAGTAGTTTCCCATTATATTGGTGGCACTTTCTTTTGGATCTGTAGGAATTATTTCAGTGTCGCAGTCCACATTCGTCTTTCATTAAGCATTTTGCTTTGTCCTACGTGCTATTATAGGATGGAATATGAAAGAACAAACATACTAGTTATCTGGATAGTTTTACTGCATCCCAGCTGTGTTTGCATAGTTTGGTGCCTAGGCCCTTGCTCTTTTAGATGGTACGGAAGACTGATGAGGCACCTATGAACTTCCACATTACTACGCTACAAATAGAAAAGAATAGCACGGAGATGGAAAAAAACACTCCCCTAAAGTACAGTCGACTCTTGGTGTTTGCTGGGGCTGTGTTCTGAGACCTTTACTGGCATCCACACACCCCAGCAGCATGTGATTTCCCCTATAAAATCCAGTCATCTATGGCCTCATAAGTGTCACCATGCATGACACCTGAAGGAAGCAGGGCTCTGCGAGGTACAGCCCCTCGGGAACTTCCCGTTTAATTTTTTTTTTTAAGATTTATTTATTTGTTCATGAAAGACACAGGTTGAGAGAGAGAGGCAGACACACAGGCAGAGGGAGAAGCAGGCTCCTTGCAGGGAGCCCGATGAGGGACTCGATCCCAGATCCTGGGATCACAACCTGAGCCGAAGGCAGGAGTCCAACTGCTGAGTCACCCAGGCATCCCGAGTTCCCATTTAATTGAAACTCCCAGGGGCAGGATTGAAATTCAGGCCTCAGCAAAATGATTCTCTGTCAAAGCAAACAAAACACATAAGCACTGTACACCACAGACATGTCTACAGAAAGAAAGACTGGAAGGAAGTACAGAACACATAGGGTATATTTCTGGGTGGTGGGCTTCAGGTGATTATACTAAACTTTTGTATTTCCTAAATTTTCTGTAAGGTACATGTATTATTTTTATAGCAAGCAAAACCAGTTATTAAAAATGCACACAAGTTACTGTTATTGGATTTTGAAGGTATCCTGTAAGTGATCACAGCTCGAGTGTTAAAAAGCAAGGACACTTGGATAGATATGGAGAGTTTATTTAATATTCAACATCTATTTTAATTACTTTAAAAGCATTAGCTTTGGGGTGCCTGCGTGGCTTAGTTGGTTAAGCATCTGTCTTCAGCTCAGGTCATGATCTCGGGGTCTTGGGATCGAGCCCCACGTTGGGGACTCAGCAGGAAGCCTGCTTCTCCCTCTCCCTCCGCCTGCCACTCTCCCTGCTTGTGCTCTCAGTCTCTCTCTCTATCAAATAAATAAATAAAATCTTCAAAAAAATAATAAAAGTGTTAGCTGTGTTAGTCATGACTTGACTCTGGTGATTGGCTAGTT